AGGGGGTCATTGTAGAAGCGTGCTCGTCGCGACCCCTGCCAGCCCTTTTCAGGGCTGCAATTCTACTCAGCTGCGCACCCATGCCAACGAGGGTTAGTGCGTCCCCCCAAGGCGACGCACACCAGCTCGTCCCCGTTGGTGTGGATACAGCGCGCAAAGCGGCGATGGGGACCGCCACCCGTCACGCACAGCCCGACACGGCGGAAGGTGGAGGACAGAGTGCAGAGTTGGCACGTGGAATGTTAGAGGAGGCATGAGAGATAAGACGAATGAGTTGATCGAAATAATGAAAGAAAGAGAATTAGATGTCGTGTGTATGTCGGAGACCAAACGGAAGGGCAGTGGTACTGAAGAGCTCCCTGGCGGGGCGTTATCTCTATAGTCCGGAGTCCCGGAGAGCGAGAACGCCTGCCAGGGAGTGGGGGTGCTGCTGTCTTCTCGGTTGGTCGATGTTATGACTGAATATAAGGTTGTGAACTCAAGACTTCTCTGGGTTCGCTTTAAATTGGGACTGACGAAGTTATTCCTTTTGGCTGTTTATGCGCTGGTAGCTTCATCGTCCAGGGCTGAGCTGGAGGAGTTTTGGGAGAATGTAAGAGAAGTTCTAGATTTGGCTAGGGGAAACGAAAGAATTGTTGTATGTGGTGATTTGAATGGATGGGTTGGTACCGCTCGACCAGGGTACGAGTCGGTACTTGGAAAGTTTGGCGATAAAAGGGTTAATGATGCTGGCAAGCTTATACTGGCGGTGTACAAGGAAAAGGGTTTTCTTGTGACAAACACTATGTTTAATCACAAGAAAATCCATATGTATACTAGAGAATGAAAGAATGAGAGAAGTATGATCGATTTGTTCCTGGTGGATGACCGACTGCGAAAACAGGTGATGGATACGCGAGTGTTCTGGGGTGCTGACCTGGGAACGGATCAATATCTAGTGATTACTAGATTTAGGGGTCTGTTCGCGGGTTGGCGCTACCGGACGGCAGTAACAGAACCACAGTCGGTCTGTCGCATCCGAAGCTGGAAGCTTCAGGAAGCGGATACTAGGGACAAATATCATGCGAGGGTAGCCGAAAAGCTTGACACCATCGATGGCAGAAAAGAATGTGTAGAAAGAACATAGCAGAACCTTAGGGATGGAATGGTAAGTGCAGCGGAAGAAGTGTGTGGAACAATAAAAAGAGGCAGTAGTAAAAGAAGAGATGCATGGTGGAATGATGAAGTGAAAGAAGCTATAAAGAAGAAGAAGAAAGCATGGTTAGACTACTTGGCCTCTAGTAATGATAAGGATATGAGAGAGAAGATGAAAGAAAGATATAGGCTGCAGAAAGTTCACACGACAGCACTGATTGACGAAGTGCGTGAGAGGTGTAGAATGGAAGCGGACGAAAGGTTGTCGCACAACTTTAAGGAGAACTCCAAACTCTTCTGGAAAAAGGTTGGAAGGACCCGAAGTGGTGCGACGGCCTTAAGAATGAACAAAGTGCTTTAGAGAACTAATGACGTCCTCTCAGAAAAATCGGACGTCAGGCAGCGATGGAGCGAATTTTATAGAGAAATGTATGCGTGTGATGATCTTAGTGAGGGATCCGGGGATGACGCCGTGATTGGTACGCCAGACCCGGACCTCGATGACACTGAGGTCATCAGTATGAAAGAGATTGAACGTGCGATTCGAAGTTTGAAATGTGGTAAAGCTGCGGGACTAGACAGAGTTACTGCTGAAATGGTCAAGTATGGTGGGCCTCGCGTCTGGGACAGCTTTCATCTGCTGTGCAATTTGTGCTGGCGGACGGGGGATGTCCCGGATGATTGGCGATCCGCAGTCATTGTGTCTTTATATAAAGGTTAAGGTTCACATTTTGACTGCGGGTGCTATCGGGCGATCAGCTTGACCAGTTTAGCAAGTAAAGATTATTCGAAGGTTTTGACACGTAGGATGCAAGAGAAATCGGAAAGATTTCTATGGGAGGCACAATGCGGATTTAGACCTGGAAGAGGATGCACGGATCAAATGTTTTCTCTCCGCATGATCACGGAAAAGCTTCTGGCTGCTAACCAGAAGATTTTCTGGGCTTTTGTGGATCTTGAGAAAGCATTTGATAAGGTTGTAAGGAAGAAAATGTGGGAACTGTTGCCGAGGTATGGTGTGGATGGTCGATTGCTAAGGGCTGTGCAGTCTCTTTACTGTGACTGTAAAGCCTGTGTGCGGGTAGGGCATGATCTGTCACCCATGTTTAATTCCAAACGGGCCTAAAGCAGAGTTGTGTCATGTCTTCTTAGTTAGTGCAGTTCTTAGTAGTTAGTGCACTTAGTTCTGCAGCATATGCTGTAAGAAAGATTAGAAGTCTCACAGATGTTGAGACAGCTAGGTTAGTGTATTTTAGTTACTTTCATAGCGTAATGTCTTATGGAATTTTGCTATGGGGTAATGCGACTGATATTGAAGCTATATTTGTTTTGCAAAAGAGAGCCGTACGGGCGATTTATAATCTAAATTGTAAAGAGTCCCTTAGAGAAAACTTTAAAGAAATAAACATATTAACTTTGGCATCGCAATATATTTATGAAAATGTAATGTATGTACATAAAACATAAATAGCTTTAATAAGAATAAGGATGTTAATACCTTAAACACTAGGAACAAACATAAGCTTGTAATGCCACTTACAAGACTCCACAGAATTAGTAATTCATTTATGGGGCAATGTATACGCTTTTACAACAGAATCCCAGAACATGTTCAAAGTTTGTCAATAAACAAGTTTAAAAGTTTTATTAAAGAAAAACTGTACAAAAAGGGTTATTATAATATCAAGGAATACATGAATGAAAATAACCCCTGGGAATAAGGTGATCGCCACCATGCTGGTTCTATGAAAATTCATTTAAAATTGTATAAACAAAATTATTGTTAAGTGAAATTATGTTTAAAAAAAAGTCCCGCTGGGTTTCTTGCTGGTTCTTCCCAGGACAGAGGTATTTTCCGAACTAGTGGTAAATAAAATAATGACTTTCAATAAGTTATCTGTAATAATCTATAATGAATTAGTAACATTCATATTAGGTACTAGCTGTGCCCCGCGACTTCGCCCGCGTGGAATTCATTACGATTAGATTTAATGGAATTTTTTGTGAAAAGTGGCATAAGTTACTCCTTATAATATTAGCTATCTGCCAGTGAAGGTCCTGTCAAAATCGGTCCAGCCGTTTCGGAGATTAGCCGGAACAAACAGACAGACAGACAGACAAAAATTTAAAAAATTGTGTTTTTGTTATAGTTTAGTATATACAGTACTTATGTACTGTATATACTTTCATATGCATTTAGTAAAAAGCTGTTATTTTGACATTACAAACAGACACTTAAATTTTATTTATTTGTATAGCTTACGCTTGTCGCTTGCAGAAACAAGATGTAAGTGGTTAGGCACAAGAGTTGGCAAGGGACGTTTTTGACGGAAGTTTATTGAACAAATTGGATATATTGAAAATGGACCAAGAGAAGTAAGTGTACTCTAAACAGAAGATCATATATGCCTATTAATATGGATATGAAGGTAGGGAGAGAGGTATCGGGAATGTGCCAAATGAAAGTTCATAGTCTCTGCCAACTCCTTTGGATAACAGAGAGAGTTTATGTGTGTATCATGTACGCTTCCAAATCATAGTGGACTTCATCTCATATCTAATTTAAATAGTTGTATCATGGTTTTATTGCGGGGAATTGTAATATGAAAACATTCGTATGTTTGCATATTATATTTGAAAAGCTCGTTCCGTTTGGAGTAGTGAATGTTTTAAAATTATACCATATTTTTGTTACTATTTGACTGTGGTTTGACACTGTACCCTTCCCCTCCCCTTTGCATTCGGTCTGCTCCTAGCTTGTCGACTAATACAAGTGCAGTGTGAATCTCCAAATTATCGGTTCGATTTTCTTAAACGAAAACACACACTTCTTCATAAGCCCGTAACAGGCCACTGCTGAACATGTGAGCCTTACCCACATTGGGTTAGATTGGCTATAATCGCCACACTTGTCAGACGAATAGTACCGGACGTTTCCTTTGTCGCTGCTCTCCGCCGGCGGTTTTGGTATTCATAATTATAGGTACATTCCATAATACACGGATCGGTTACACCCCCACCTATTGGGTATTTTCACGCATAAACACTAATCACCCATTACGACAAGCAAAACAGCGGGATGTATTCTTTTACGCCTTCATCACAAGGCATTATGTCATCACAATACGCCTCGTGCTTTTATGGATAAGTTTTTTATAGAATAAACGAGCACGAGCACCCAGTCCAGTTGAAGACTAAGATGGGATACCTCGTTTCCAATAGCTTATCCTGTTATCTACACTCACCATACGAAACACAGCAACATTCTGTTCTTCCCCGGTCGAGCCGACGCATTCGTACTACAACCATAATATAGCTGTTACTCTAACACGTGTTAAAACAATTAGCAATAAAACGTACAAATACAATTAGCAATAAATACAAATAAAAAGCACCAAATGAAATTGTTAATTGCAATTTTAAGTGTTGATTTACCACGTGCTCGGCGGTGAAGGAAAACATCGTGAGGAAACCTGCATGTCTGAGAAATAAGAAAAAAAAATTTTTTCGAAGACATGTGAAGTTCGCCAACACGCATTGGGGCAGCGCGGCGGACATTTCCTTGCCCTAAAACCCTCTCAGAAATGAGAGGAGGCCTGTGCCCAGCAGTGGGACGTAAATAGGCTGCAACTTTACTTTACTTTACAAATAAAAAGTAAAACTTCCTGTATGAACAACAATTAAAAAATTCGTTTCAAAAGTGTGCCAGTACTTAAATAGTTTATGGTATAGGCGCGACCAATAAACTCATGAATTAATAGAGTAAATTCGAATCATAAGAATTTATTTTTTCCACATCGAAATGTAATTAATGCATATGTCTTAATATAATGAATCAACATTTAAAATATAAAAAGTAAACATACCTTAATTATTAAACCAGTTTCCGTTATATTAACGGCACTTGCTATATAAAACAACTTGTGTGTGAAGAAACAACACGCTACACTATAACTCGTTTCACATTCGAGATGTAAACATCAAATGAAATTGAATACAGTGTTGCCCGTCACGAACTAATGAGGGGAAAATAAGTCTACAATATATCGATAGAAGATCACGATCACTCATTTATAATCTCTTTTTTGTGCTGCGTACGTAATAGAATAAATAGAATAGAATGATTTTAAACTTTTACTGTTGGTTAGAAAAAAAAAAACACTGTCCTGGGAAGAACCAGCAAGAAACCCAGGGTTTTTTTAAAGCATAACTTCATCATTACAGCCCTTCACAAGTCCACTGCTGAACATAGGCCTCCCCCAAAGAATGCCACAAAGCACGGTCCTGAGCCACCTGCATCCATCGACTTCCTGCATATCTTACCAGGTCGTCACTCCATCTAGTGGGGGGACGCCCTACACTTCGCCTGCCGGTACGAGGCTGCCACTCGAGAACCTTTCTTCCCCATCGGTTGTCGGTTCTTCGAGCTATATGGCCGGCCCATTGCCACTTCAGCTTACTAATCCGTTGGGCTATGTCGGTCACTCTAGTTCTACTGCGGATATCCTCATTTCTGAGTTTATCACGCAGAGAAACTCCGAGCATAGCCCTCTCCATAGCTCGCTGAGCGACCTTGAGCTTCCTCATCCGGCCAGCAGTGAAGGACCACGTCTCAGTTCCGTATGTCATCACTGGCAACACGCACTGGGTGTACAGTATCGTTTTCAAGTTTTGAGGTATACCTGACGAGAAGATGTGCCGTAATTTCCCGAACGCTGCCCAACCGAGTTGAATCCGTCGATTGACCTCTCGGTCGAAGTTGGACTTACCTAGTCGGACTATTTGTCCCAGGTAAACATACTCGTCAACAACTTCGAGCTTAGTGTTCCCAACAACTACCGGCATAGGTGTGACATGGACATTAAACATGATCTTTGTTTTGTCCATGTTCATCTTAAGACCTATCCGTTGGGAAACACTATTGAGGTCATTGAGCATAGTGCTTAGGTCCTCCAGCGATTCTGCCATAAGGACTATATCGTCGGCAAATCGAAGGTGAGTGATGTACTCGCCATTGATGTTGATACCGTATCCTTTCCAGTCCAGAAGCTTGAAAACATCTTCCAATGCAGCGGTAAAGAGTTTCGGGGATATGACGTCACCCTGTCTTACACCTCTCTGCAATTGGATAGGTTTCGTACTCTGGTTCTGTACTCGGATAGCCATCGTAGCCCTACTGTACAAGCACTTCAACACTTCGATATACCGACAGTCAACTTGGCATCGCTGAAGGGACTGCAGCACCGCCCAAATTTCGACGGAATCAAAGGCTTTCTCATAGTCCACATACGCCAGACATAGTGGCAAATTGTACTCCTCGGACTTCTGCACAATTTGCCGAAGGGTATGTATGTGGTCTATGGTGCTAAAGCCTTTTCGGAAACCGGCTTGTTCGGGAGGCTGGAAGTCGTCAAGTCTGCGCGCGAGACGATTCGTAATGACTCTCGAAAACAGCACGTAGACGCGGCTCAGAAGGGAAATCGGTCTGTAGTTCTTCAAGAGAGCGTTGTCGCCTTTCTTGAAGAACAAGACCACCGCACTTCAGACAAAGCATAACTTACAATATAATATTTACACAATTGTTATGAAAGCATTTAGAAACAGCATGGTAGCGATCACCTCATTTCCAGGGGTTACTATCAATCATGTAATCTCTATTAATATAATAACCCTTATTACACATTATTTTAAATAAATACTTTGAACCTTTTGATAGATAAGTTCTGCATATTTTCTGGGACTTTGTTGTAGAAGCGTATACATTGGCCCCATGAAGAAATTACCGACTCTTTGGAGTCGAGTAGCTGGTATAACTAACTTATGCTTGTTCCAAAGTTAACATAGAGAAGCCAAAGTTAACATATTTATTTCTTTAAATTTTTCTCTAAGAAATTCTTTCGCACTTAGGTTATAAATTGCTCTTGTAGCTCTTTTCTGCAAAACAAAGATAGTTTCAGTATCAGTCACATTACCCCATAGCAAAATTCCATATGACATTATGCTATGGAAATAACTAAACTAATCTATCGGTTTCAATACATTTATTTTAGGAGAGGGGTCGAATGATCATGCGGCTCACCTGATGGTAAGTAACTACCGACGCCCATGAACAACTGCAACACCAGGGAAATTGGGGATGCGTTGCCGGCCTTTTAAACAGGATTAGGCTCTTTTCTTGAAGGTCCCTAAGTCGAATTAATCCAGAAATATCGCTGGTGGTAATCGATTCCACAAGAAAGTTGTGCGAGGAAAACTTCTTCTAAATCGCACAGTGGTGGACCACCCATCATCCAGATGGTATGGATGGTGTCATTTTGTCACGATGTGCGATGGTGAAATTGAGCGGCTGGAGTTAGTCTGAACAATTCCCTGGAGCACTCCCCGAGGTAAATGCGAAAGAAAATGCAAAAGGATGCAACATATCCTCACAGCACCAGTGAATCAAACCCATCGAAAAGTACTCGGTCGTCGACGTTCGAGCTGTTCTGCACTGGATTCGGTCAAATGGAAGAAGCTGGCACTAGGGAGCCCCAGCCCAGAGATGGGAACAGTATTTCATGTGAGGCCGAACCTGAGCCTTGTAAAGTTGCAGGCGGTGTGCAGGCACACCTCTATCCACTCTTTCCTGGTCTGTTGAGCATGCCAAGTTTTATAGAGGCCAATTTGGCCTTCTCTACCAAGTGACCACAAAACTGCACGTCACTCGATACGTCGACACTGAGGATTCTGATACTGGCTGAGGTAACAAGGGGAGTGCCTTGAAACTGGACGAGAAATATTGGCACGGCCGGTGTATAGAGCATCACCAATGCTGCCATCTGAATAGCAACGAATGTTACAGGTTCGCAAATGTGATTGACATGCGTACCCTTAACCGACGAGCGTGTATGCGTAGATATATGGATGTAAAGGAGGCGAGAGAGGTGTGTCAGGATCGCGCCAAATGGAAGTTCGTAGTCTCTGCCTACCCCTATGGGTAACAGGCGTGAGTGTTTGTGATTATATGCAGAAGAAACAGTGTTGGTGATAGCACAGATATCCACTCTGACGTATATGCAAATTCCAGCCCGGGGAACAGAGAAGAAGTAGAAGTGTTCTAATTTTTACCCCGTGTAAGACAGGTACGAAATATCAGCCGGAGATAACTGCGTCGCTATCTCTAGATGGTAGTGGACAGTGTTAAGCTTCGAGTGGAGTCCCCTGATGAAGTTTTATTTTTATAAAAGAAATACATTATTTCACTTGATGAGCAGCTTAAAAGAATTTTTTTTTCAGGATTTAAGGTCGATAAACACAAACATAAGTGATAAAACGATAAACACTTTTACTACTAAAGCGAGGGTACACTATACAATGCAATACCTAACTTAAACTAGAAACAAAAAAATAATAATAACCCAAAATAATAATAAATAATGGCCATCTTTGTCCTCAGAGATGATAGCATATCTATAGTCCTCTTAGTTTGAAGTTGGTTTTAGATATCTATGCACAACGGTTGCCACTTACCATCAGATGAATTGTAATTGCATAATATTATGTTACTTTATTATGGGAAAAAATCGTTCGATCGAAATCCATTCGATTTCATCGTGACTCATACATCACTAGTTGCACTTTGTCCCCACTCATGGATCCATTCATAAGAACATGTTGTTTTGTCCGCCTTTACTATGCGCTTGGCGCTTACGCATCATACCAGCGCACGGAAAAAATCATCTTACCATATGAAAATAAGGTTGCTTTTCATTTCTAATTTGAGTTTAACATGAACTCTACATATTGCCTTTTATGAGAATGATTGCTATTGTATAAACATAAGGTGAATATTCGTTTAACAAATGTTTAAATACATAAGTGGAAGTGTCTCCTCAGTGTGCACGGATATTAAATTACTACAATATTCTTGTTTATAAAATGTGACCTAGATGTCTTACAGTTGGGATCACATAAAATTTACAAGACTAATAGAATCAAGTTTTGATTTATAACATAAGAATTGTTCTGGTTTAGTATATAGCTTCAATGTTTGACGATTGTACACAAATATCGAGAATGTGGCAACTATCACAAATTCCCCCTGATCAAAAGCTGTGTGTTATGCCTATTTCCAGCAGTGGACTTTGATAGACTGTAATGATGATAATGAATGAGAATATAACGTGATTCATACTGAAGCCGATAGGTGGGCTCTGCCTAGCTCTATCGAGTGACTTAGAATAGGTAGCTGCGACTCAAGGACGCTATAACCAAAAATGCCACGCTCCCTCCTATTTTCGAAATATGTTATACATATTAAGTATTAACAATTAAAAGTTTAGAAGAAGCAGTGGCTTAGCATGAGTTGCAGCGCTACGGTCCGCGTTTGAATTCCGTACAGAACAAGTTTTGTATAGCCTACAAATAATTGTTCCGACTCTGGATGTTTGACTTAGTAAAATGTATATATGTAAGCTGCCCCCACGATACAGGAGAATATCCTAGTGTGGAGTAAGCGTTTAAAAAAATACAAATATATATCATTAGAAGAACCGCGAAGTGATAACATTCATTTCTAAAATGAAGCCCTATAAAATCTGTCACCCAGGACCGTTCCCCTCACCATTGATACGCCACTATCGGTGTTTCTCTTTCTCTAGGTCTTTGAAAAGAGAAAAGGTATGTGCCTTGCGGGAGAGTTTTGGCGTCAAAGCATAATTTACTTTCCTTACACTAGCGTAACAAACTCCACATGGAAAAATACATTTCATTTTTCCATTTCATTAATACACATTCTACATTTTTTTATAGAAGAACATACGGCTAACCTAATTGTAAGTGGCTACCGCTGCCTATGAACATAATGAGGCCTCTCTTCCTCTGTTTTCTTCCGAGATAGTGACGGTAGATACAATTTTTAATCTCTGTCCCTGCAATGTTCCTCTACCTTTTTTTTCTATATTCTTTTATAAACTTGAAGTGACATACGAATTTAC